ATGATGATGATGATCAGGATGATGAGGATGATGATGATGATGGTGACGGTGATGATGATGATGATGATGATGATGATGATCAGGATGAGGATGAGGATGAGGATGAGGATGAGGATGAGGATGATGATGACGATGGTGATGATATGTGATGACCATGACCATGATGATGATGATGATGATGGTGATGATGAAAATTATGGGGCGATGGCTGGCGATGTTCACGATTGGGAGGACGAGGACGACGACGACAATGACGATGGCCATGATGATCACGGCGATGATGGTGTGGTGTTGGCGGCCACGACAATTATTGTTGCTATTACGATGTTGTCATCGTGATTACTCTTCATCACCATCATGATCATCATAATCGCGGTGATGGTGCTGGCAATTTGACGTGCTGCTGACGAAGGTATGATTTCACACGATTTCAACGAGGACGTATGATGATATCAAGGAAACCGGATGAAATTTGTTCAAGTGATGGCGACTGTTGGCAAGAGCTGCGTTATCCCTGCTGACATGGACCGGGATGGCGATTTTGGCTGCTACTGCATGCCGTTGGTGGTGATGCTAAAACGGCTCCAGCTGCTTCTGCTGCTGCTGCAACCAACTGTTGTCGTTGCAGTCGTGTTTTTCCTGCCGGAGGATCTTGCAGATGAGGGGGGCCAGGGAATCGATGTGTTTGCCATGTCATTGTTAGGACTGTGAGCTATCCAGGAAGCTCGTGCTTCAAGCTTGAGAGGGCTGAGGGGGCATCAAAACCTCGGAATGGCAGTGTCAATCAAGGCTCAAGTGTTGCGAGGTTATCGTGCTGTAGTGCTGATGGCGCCCATGTTTCTTCAAGTAATCATTTTCGGAGCTGGTCTTGCATGCGCATTCGGCCTTGCGGCAAATCAGAGTACAAGCGTAAGCAATCGGGGCCTGCCATAGGGTGAGGACAATTGCAATCTGTACGGCAAAGCAAGGGCTTGCATGTGGCAGCACGGCCAATGTGTATGTCGAGACGGCCGGTTTTCTATTCCAAGACGGGGCGCCGATGCGTGACATCATCAAGCCCACCGACAACCCAAAGCACCACAACATCGGCACCGGCAGTGGTCTTGCAAGACTCGACTGGCAACGTATGTTTGTCTACCCGAGGCCTGCCATATGACGAAGCGAATTGTCGGTGGTATGGCAAAGATCGAGGTTGCATTTCAGTGCGCCTGTCAAAGTGAAGGTTACTACTCCAAGACCGGGCGCCGATGTGTGCATCAAGACGCGGTGACAACGACTGCCACAACACCGGCACCAGTGGTGGTCTCGCAGGACTCAAACGGTGTGTCACATCACGGCATACCATACGACGAATCACGTTGCGAGTGGTATGGTAGAGACCGGAGATGCGTTTGGCAGAATAACCAGTGCGTGTGTCAAAATGAAGGTTGCTACTACAAGACCGGGTGCAAGTGTTGGCCACCAGCTCCGTCACCACAGCCACCTACACAAGGACCGGCACCTTCCCCACCACCCCCGGTGTGAATCCGAAGGCATCCTGGATTTCATGGTCTCGTGGTTTCCTGGACCCCATTGGTTAATCGGTGCAGTTCAAGGTTTGCTTGGAATGAGCTCCTGCGCCTGCATTTTCCCATGCACCAGACGGCAGGCCCGCCGCCTTGTGTGTCGACAGCGCATGAATGCACTGCAGGCGCCAACACATCAGGCCATGCTCCTGGACGAGGGGCATGTGGAAGTGGTTCCGCAACATCATGAAGAGCACATTCAAGCAGCTGAAGCGGTCTGAAAGGAGCTCGTTTAGCTGTCGTGCTGAATACTTCCGTTGATGCACATGTAGATCACAAGCTATCACAGGTCCATCGGCGACAGATCCCGGAGTGCACCCGTCTTCAAAAAGCTTTTGCACCTGACCCGACTGGACACTGCCTGTGCCACTCGCATCTTCTTCTGCTGTCCAGGAGTTTGCATAACATAGGGGCCGTTTTCTATACCTCTTCCATTCTTGTGGTTCCTTACTGTAGTTATAGGGTAATATACCCTGTTCTAATAATCAAGGCCCCTACATTATCGGCGTTGGGAAGCTCTTTGCTGCATGCGCGAGGCTTCGTCGAACGGAAAAAGACAGTGGAGTGCGACAGCCAGAAGGCGCCTCCAGGACGTGGCAAGGGAAATGGAAATCGGGGTTTAATAAATGGTACTCAAACTTTCATCTAGCTTCATATCATCAAAACGTTCAAGGCAAAAGGTCCCAGATAATACCCATGCCAAAAAAAAAGGTGCCTTAAAAATATTAAAGGTCTGTGATTTTTCGTGATTTTTCTTTTCTCAAAAATAAAATTTGTAAAACTTTAGAATTGCTGTTATATTATTTATAGAATTCCATATCTTTTATTTCTCTCTATTCCTCCAGAATTTTCCTCTATACTTTAATTTCTTGGATAGAGCTGTCATTGGTTAATTTATTAATAAATGTTGTGAAATTAGAAAAATGGTGAGAGAATAATGATTTAGATTTAAAAATTCGATGATTTAATTTTGTTGGATCGGTGAATTTATTCGATATAAATTAATTTCTGAGATTATTTCTTAGATTGAAAATAAAATAATATAAGAATATGAGATAAATATTATAATTCGGCATGAATATTATCGACGAGGAATTCGAATAATTGATTTGGTTTTATGAAATTCTTAAGACTAAATTTAAAAGATTTATAAATAAGATATATATTTTTTATTATTTAATAAAAAAAATTTATAGACTATATTTCTTATTCTATAGATATTATATTTAATATGAATAATTTCTTATTCTAGAGGTATTCTGTGCGAACAAAAGAATTTCTCTTTCTTGATAAGCTTATTAGAATTTTTTTTTATAATGATGAACATGATAATTCTGGAAGAAAAATATGAAGGTGCTAGAATTGAGTCTATAATTAATTTCTATAGCGAACTAAATATTAGATTCAAAACTC